AGCAGATCACCTAGTGATGTAATACAATGACCAAGGCGTTAGCGCATTTGCGGCGCCGAGGCCAAAAGGAGAAAGAGAGCGAAGGATGCAGGAGTGGCAGCAACTATAAGTGCACCCTCCTCCTCCCCCACTCCACCTCCAACAGCAAGGGCACTTCCTGCGGCAGGCGCCAAGAGCTCCGCCTTGAATAAAGGCAAGGAACCGGCTGCCCCCGCAGGAAAGCTCCCTCACTTGTGCCCTCCACGGAGGGAACCCCAAGAAGGTTAAAGAGGCCGCTCAACGACAGTAATGTTGCTGCACCTCCCAAAACCTTTGCGAGGGCCACCGTGAGACATATAAAGGTTGCCAAAGAGAGTGTGTGTTCGGCGAGTCTTGGCCTACACCTGCCGATATAAAGGAGATGTCTTCTAGTGACCTGTCCGCCTTCCTGGAAAGGACAGGATGGACGATGGCCAGTGTAGTTAAGTACTACTAACAGGTAGTGACATATAAAAACACTAACATAGTAGTTAAATTTAGTCATTATGATCTCCTGAGGATGCTAACTTGGTTAGCGAAACTCGCGTCGAGAGATTGTAATTTTTGTTCTGGTGTTGGGAAAGTGTTTTTGATAGTAAACAAAACCACAACACATGTTTCACAATAAAATAGCTTCCTCAGGCGTGTTCATACGTTCAATTGTCAGCCAATTCCATCAAATGAAATGAGCCGGATTCATAATTAGGTACCTATCAGAATTTTTCAAAATAGTAATCCGAAATAAATGTTAATGAGAAGAGAAAATCATTCTCCTTCATATAAAGAAATCTTTATAACGTAAAAATCATGAATGTTTCAATTTCAAAAAGAAACGTACATCCGGTGGAATTGGAAACTTCGTTAATTAAGAACTCAACGACGAAATGAGGAAGTACATAACGCCTTCGTCCATTTTGAATTCTTTGTAGATACTCATTGGGCCATTGATAAGGAATTTCATGAATATTTAAACATAACTGAAAACATACAGTTTATTATAACACTTGCAAAAACAATGAACCAATTTGTTAACATTTATGCAATACATGCCTTTGACTACCTACTTCTCGAGAATAAACAATGGTAAGATGAAAATTCGTTACACGAGTATTTCGGGCTCCCACGCTACTTGCACAAATCTGCCAACTCCTTAATACTTATGTAATACCGTATAATCCTCGGGAAGATATATATCTAATGGTTATCGATTGTTCTCGTTTCATTGACATCAGTCCATGGAAGCTGCGTTAGGAAAGTGGATCATGGCCATTCACTTTTTATCTGGAAAACGACTCTACTTTTACGATATGTGATCCTAATAGGGTATAGGTACAGTTGACGAAGAATGCGATACAAAATCGGTGAATTGGCAAATTTTTTTTTCGAATGGCATTTTTTGAAAACCATACATGATAATGATAATAGCTCTGTTCAAAATAAATAATCCAATACTTAGAATTCAAATATTTTATTTTTACACTTATGTGCATTAAATAATAAAGGAGTTTTGTACCACCGCCTCCCCGTTTCTTAATATATTCTCAAAAATACGATGAACATACTTTCAAACTTTTGATTTCTACAATGTATATTTTTATATGATTATTTATCACCAAATGGTATCCCTTACCGGAAGAACGCAACTCTAGCGAAAAATTCAAATAGAATCGGGTAATAAGTGATAGCTCATTTGGAATCAAATCAAATCAAATCACTTTATTAATCCTGTAGGATAGGTCAAATAGTATTTTGTACATATACATGAAATAATACTTAGAGTAAAATTAAACCAAACATACATGAAAGATTGTCATATACAAAAAATATTCAACTCCAGCTTCATTAAATTAATGTAATAGAGAAATGAAATTACGGAAGATTGAGAAATTCTTCTATGGTATAAAAATTATGTTCTAATAAAAACCTTTTAAGGGTGGTTTTGAAAACCTGAATTCTATCGGTAGTTTTCAACGAGTCGGGCAGTTTGTTATGAAGTTTTAGCCCCAAGTAAGAGATGAGTTAGCAGTTATATTATATTTGACGGTATTTATGTAAAAATCATTGCACTATCTTGTAAACATTATGGTAAGATGAAATGCGATCATATTTCGACCTATTGGTGTGAATGAATACACACATTTCAAAAATGAAAATATCCAGGAAAGTCAAAATTTTCATATGTTTGTACAAATCTCTGCAGAGGTTCTCTGATTAACGCATGCTAAAATCTTTTTTTGGGCAATAAATACATTTGGAGCCAATGAAGAGCTTCCCCAAAGACAAATCCATATCTGATTCTAGATTTTATATGTGCATAGTAATGATTTACTAACTGTTCAGTGCTTAATATCGTCTTAAGATTTCGTATCAGATACGAAACAGAACTTAGTTTCACTATCAGTTTATTACAATGACTCTTCCAGTTCAGACAATTATCTAGCGTGATTCCCAGAAATTTACATTCATCGGATGAATAAAGTGTGTTTTCAATCTCATTAATTTCAATTTCTAGATTTGAACAGATTTTTTGCCTTTGATGAAACCGTACTAATAAAGTTTTTCGAGAATTGAAATGAAGTGAGTTGGCGGCACACCATGAAACCAAATGATTTGACACCGTGTTACAATTTTCTTTCACTAAACTTCTCTTTTATTACAATAAATGCTCAAAATGTTCAGCTCTGACGCTTTGCAAAGTTTCTTCACTAATTTTTGCACACACTTCCATAATCCGCGCACGCCACCCCTGAATAGGGTCATCAAGTCTCGTATACTTTTGGTTTTAGATAACCCCTAGATTTTGGGGGTTAGATCTGATGATCTTGGAGGCAATTTCATATGATCCTCGGCGACCGATCCATCGTCCTTCATAAACAGTATCCAGATAAGTGCGTGAACGCTATTTTCCGGTGTTTTGGCCGTAGTTTGCAGGTTTTTATGGCTGACGTTTTGTCTACTTTTGCGGTAGACATTTTCAACGGCAATGTGGTAACAGTCGTAGTGCTCGAGTTGGTGCTCCCGTTGTTCTGAACTCAGACCACGGCTAAAAAACCCGGAAAATAGCTTTCACATAGTTATCTCCTAACGTGAAAGTTTACATTCTTTGATCAGTATTCAGATTTCTCATATCTTATAAAATGTTTCCACTAACTATTTGAAATAATTTCTATCAATACGGCGATTTGGAAAACGTTCATTGAACATTCCCACAGCCTCATCAGTGATTATTGCGATTAGCCTCACCAAAAATAACAATCGCCTCGCATTTCTCATGCAACTATTATTCGAAAATGAATAGCAATCAAAACTTACAACCTGAATACCCGTACTAACACTCTACATCCTCAAAATGAAGCAAATTTCATTCGCTTTGCAGGTTTGAATAGGGAATATAACCTTGTTTCGAATGAACTCTCACTCAATATCCCATGCTATTTGAATTTTTTGAAATGGGTTGCTCCCCCGAGGTGAGAGATGAAATTAAGGGTGAACCATTCATACATAAATGTATGTATGAATGGCAATTTTTCTAAAAAAAAGAGACTACTAACGAGGTAATACCGAGATAATACAATGGAATCATTACATCGTTAATAGCATAAAACTGTTTTATCAACTTAAAAACAGTTCTTTCATATTGTCCAATCATCCGACGAAGAGACTGTTTCAAAAATATTTTTTTCGAATTTTCATTGCTCGTAAAATATAGATTTTTTTTCGAAATGAATATCGGTCTGAAATCTCTTTGACTCTTTTATTATTCAGTGATTGTTCTCAGATTTAGAAATTCTCCTATTTATTCAGATTTATCCCCCCACTTTTGTATGATAATGTTTTTACTTCATTTAATCAAATGATAATTTTCACTTTTTTTTCTAGTGCTTTCAATTTTTGTTTCTTTTTCAGGTTAATTTTTCGCACTCCTACATAGAAATCGAATTGCCTGAACAAGTGTAGCCAATTTTTTATATTTATCTATTTTTCATATAAGTTTTGCTGCACACTCATATGTGACATCCTTTCTTATTTTATTACACGCTTCATATTAGCTTCACCTGTATGTATGTATGTATGTAAGATTGTATGCATGTTTGCTTGTAACTCTCAAGCTCGGGATCTGTATTGACAGAATTATCGGCATCAGTGCTTGATCTATTCGCGAGCAGATGGCGCTGTATGTAACCTACTTGATATTTTTTATTTTATTCGCGGGCAGATGGCGCTGTATGTAACATACTTTATATTTCTTGTTCTATTCGCGGGCAGATGGCGCTGTACGTAACCTACTTGATTTTTCTTGATCTATTCGCGGGCAGATGGCGCTGTACGTCGTCGCTTTTTTCACAATAATACTAGTATTTTTCGATCGTTATTGTTTTAAGCTTATTAAAAAAAAATATTTTTAACTTTTCAGTTCGATATTCTTCAAAAGCGTGGTTTTTAGTTTTTTTAAACTATATTTATTGATTTTCTGTTATCTGCCCTCAGCCCTTAAGAGTTTATATGTTTATATGTATTCCTACGCTAAGTATATTTATATGAATTTTTCTAAGACTATCCCTTTAAATTTTTCAAGGAAGATTTACAATTTCTTTCAGTCAACGCCTGTCTGCAAGTTACCTTACGTTGTCCATTTTCACTTATTATGGTATTTTTATTACTCGATGATTTCGTTAGTGTTCATTACCTTAGTTATATTCAACCATTTCACCTTCCAGAAGGTGCAAGGAGTATTGCTTTTTTCCTTCGGTTTTTCCATTTCTATATCACAAATATTCACTACGATGTTAATCCTATTGATTTATTCGAATGTTTTGTTCCTGATGTTCATCTGATGATTAAATCATAATTTTTTTTTAATTTAACACACCTTTTACAGAATTCCGTTATTGTTAGAGAATCTTTAGTCTTTATACTAAGCTACTTTATCCTACTTCGTACTATAAGCCCATTATATTAGGTCCATATTTTTTTGCAGGTTCAGTATGCCAGGCGATTCATTTTATTGGAGCCCTGTAGAAAATGATACAGATGATTCTTTTCAAGAAAAAGAAGGATACATCGATCCCTGGGATTTGGAAAACTATGCCTATATAAGAGAACACCTGGACTCCATGGAACTCAGCTCTAGCCCTAGTGGTCCCAGTGGTAGTAGTGGAGAATTCGCAGAAGCAACGAACTCTTTTGATTTTATTCCAGGAAAAAAAAAACCAGGTAAAGTCGAGAATATTCAGTTATTTAAGAGTTGTTTTCGAATCAAGAATAATGTATCATTCCTCACTTATTTTGAATGAAACTAGGACGTATCATAAAGTTTCTACTGGTTCAGAACCACTGAAGTCTAATGACTAGTACCTACGTGGGTACAATTTCTAGAAAACACTCAGACAATAATTTTGTGTTCAGATTGAGTGAATAAACAATTTATAACAGCAATACATTTTTTTGCAAAATTATAATATTCCTATGTACATATAACCAACCAAATTATCACGAGTGCATTACATATATAATAGATTTTGTTTATTTCAAAAGTTTTGTCCGTTTTTTTAGTTCTATTATAAACTGTTATATCTCAGTGAGTACTTATCAAATTCAATCAATATAAGCGCCATTTGAATCACACAAGACGATCAATTCCGTCGGCATAAAAATCGTATGTTCGAGATTCGATGAAGTTGACGAAGACCGTTTCTGCCTGGTACTGATTGGCGAAGGTTTTACCGGTGAGAAATTTATCGAAGTGCTTGAAAATAAGGTAGTTGGTTGGCGAGAGGTCTAAGAAATATGGTAGGTGAGGCAAAACTTCGACGTTTAATTCGTTTAATTTTCGAACGGTGATTTGTGAAACGTGCAGCAAGCGTTGTCGTGAAGCAAGATCGGATCTCTTCTGTTTCCTCACAATGGTGATAGTTTGGCTCGGTTGCAGAAATTTATAGTAAATCACACCAGGCGCTGATTACCATACAGTAACCATGGTAATTTTTCAGTGTGTGTTCGCCTTTTGAAAGTTTCTGGGTGGCCTATCGATATCCAACCACTATCTTGAACGTCTGCCTTTGTCGAAGAGAATCCACTTTTCATCACACGTGACGATCCAATCCAAAAAAAAGGATTGTTTTAGTTGCGCAAAAGCAAAGAACAGACTTCGAAACGTGACAATTTCTGTCAATCGTCAAAACGTGGACACCGACGTTTTAAACCGCATGGGAGATGATGCACAGTTCTTCCACCATCCCACGCACCGTTTGTGATATGTCAATCTCCACCAGGGTCCTGAAGTACTCGTCCTGGATTAATGTAGGTTGACCACTTCGGGGCTCATCTTCGACGCTAAAAACTTCGGAAAAAAATTTTGCAAACCAACGTCGAACAGTGCGGCAAATGCCTGGTTAATTTTTCGGGCTATTTCAGCAGTGCTTTGGTTCAATTCGAAATCGTAGAGAAAAATTGGATGAACATCGCTCAACGACATATAGTAATAAGCTGAAAAGAGGTAAAAATATAACTTTGAAAAAAATGAATAGCATTAGTGTATGAAGCACAAAATTCTCTATCGACCAGTATACACCACGACACAGTGAAATAAATATTTATCGAGATATAAAGCTACAAAAACACATAACATGAAATCGGACAAAACTTTTGAAACAACGTGATGAAAAAACGTTCAACATACAACACCAGTAGGTATGAATTTAATTTGATACACAAACATACTATAACATGCATGCAAATTCAATAATTAATTATAAAATAATTCAAAGGTTGAAACTAAAAGTATGGGTTTGAAGAATTTGGAAGATGCAAAATTCAATTAATATTTATTTTTCATTATGAAAATCTATTTTTTTTAATCAGGTGTCGTATACATGATCCTATTTCTTCTAATTCATACTTTTTTTTATGTCATAAAATCCTACACGTATTTTTTGCGTATTCGTAACCACGAAGTATTCATTGAACCGGTATGTAATTTCAGCTTTTCCTCTTGTAACTTCTTTCCCTATTTTGATTTACTCAAATTATATATTTTCTTCAACATCCCCTGTATACAAGGTATTTCAAATTCGATCCTCACCATTGGGAGCTCAGAAACTATGAGAGATTCAAAGATGGTTAAATTGGGGCAAAGTTGAGCATTTACCTGACTAACAATATGCCGTTGCGAAAGTTCTAAAATTCCCAGTATATTCGAAGATATCTGAAAAACAGAAATTTCGAAAAACAGATATTTCTCATATCTTATATAATGTTTCCACTATTTGAAATAATGTCTATCAATAGGGCGATTTGAACATTCTCACAGCCTCAATGATAATTGCGATTAGCTTCGCCGAAAATAACAATCGCTTCGCTTTTCTCATGCAACCATTATTCGAGAATGAAAAACAATCAAAACTTACAACTTGAATACACATACTCGCACTCTAAATCCTAAAAAAAATCCAAAAACGTATAGTCAATATCCAAGCATATGGAAACCAAAACCGATATTATGCAGAGCTGAATTTTATTTCAATTATTGATATCCACTTTAAGAAAGCTGAAGTACTACAGAGAAAAATACTCAAAATCGTGTACCACAAAAAAATTATTATTCTTTAGATCAAATCTTCATTGTCTCGAAGCTACTCGATATCAGACAAATATACATGTACAACTTAATCTTGTATATCTACAAAAACAAAATGACACTTCGACCAATTAGACACGATTATAATATCCGCACCAAATCAAAGGGTGATGTACAAGTGAACGCAACAAAAAAAAATCATTGGTCAACACTCATATAAATACCACAGTGAGAAAATCTTCAACTTCTTACCGGACATGTACAAGACCTACATTTATACAATAAATAATATTAACCTACTCAAAAACATCATAGGGACATCGTTTACAACATTTTTATAAAAAAATAAAGACAATAGTTATCCTAGGTTCAAAATATGTTATACCTTCTTTCTTTACCGTTGCACTTCTCACTCAAATATACCTATCAAAGTACTGTAATTTAATATTATATTTATGTTCATAATTATTTATTATATGCTTCTATTTTTTATATACAGTAGGCTATATTACAAATAATTGTATTGTTTCTTATTCAACTCATTCAATTCACACATTTACCTAACTAACAATATGCCCTTAAGAAAGTTATGAAATTCCCAGTATATTCGAAGATATCCGAAAAACAGAAATTTCGGAAAATGGTTTTTATTTTTTTCTGGCTCAATTTTACTGCTACATAATGGTGTTTTCAGATTTGCTATCCGAAGTTTCGTCTTCCGGCCACCATCGTAAACTTTATTTTTTCTTATGGACGCTACATTGTATTCTTTCTGTTTTGAATAGAACCAGATTTTNACTTGTACAATAACAAAATGTCGTTGAGGGTAACAATTTGAAAGTCAAATTTGAAAACATCTTAAGTCAAAGCCTATTATGATAAGAATTAATTTTTTTCAATATCTACAATTTTTCGAAAAAGAATGATAACTTATAATACATCATTGAAAAGTTAAAGGCTGGTTCTATTCAAACCAGAAAGAATACAATGTAGTGCCCATAAGAAAAAATAAAGTTGACGATGGTGGCCGGAAGACGAAACGTCGGATATCAAATCTGCAAACACCATTAAATAGCAGGGAGAATGTGGCAATGTAGAACTGCAATTTATTTTCCCGGATATCTCCGGATATACTCGGAATTTCAGAACTTTCTCAACCGCATATTGTTAGTCAGGTAAATGCGCAACTTTGTCCCAATTTAATCATCTTCGTATCTCTCATAGTTTCCGAGATCCCAATGGTGAGGATCGAATTTGAAACCCTGTATACATTCCATATTTTTCAGTTGCATTTTCCAAAACCCCAATTATTCATAACAATATCATTTAACTCATTCTATGAGTTGTTAATCTGCAGTAAAAGTTGCGAGAAAAAATTTTTTTAGAACTATTCTAAACTGTTGCTGTCTCATAAACCATATAGACTATTGATTGTTCTGTCTTATATTCCCAGGACCACCTTATATATCAAAACAGGCACCTTACTTGACAGAAGACAGTAATTTCGAATCAATTCTGAGTGAACAAGAAAACTATGCTGACATAGAAGAAATTCAGAACTATGAGAGAAAAAACAGAAGAGCCACCAGTGAAATGCAGTGGCCAATTCGAAAAAGACTAATGGAAGAATACGAGCCAGGTAAATACGTGAACACTCTCATAACCTTTCGTAAAATTACAAAGAATAGAAATGAAAAAATGTTTATCAAATTGTAGAATATTTTTCAATGTGATATTTTAACAAGTGAGCGTTCTTCAGTCTGATGTGATTATTTTAAAATCTTTGACAAAGGTAAATGCGTGAAAGATAAATAGAACGAGTATACAGTGTGTAAAAGCCAAATGAAATAAATTCATTATTTCGGTTACGGTACATATTTTAACAAAATCCAGAAACACGTCAAATTTAAATTATAATTTGACATACTTCAACGAAAAAATGCTACCCTTACCTCCAACCACCGTCGAATGACAGGTACAACCCCCAATTTTTTAAATAGGAAGTAAATGCTTGTGATATATTGTTCGCAAGGTCTCTTCATTCTCCATTCAAAAATATTATTGCTTTCAAGTTTATTTCAACAATTAAGATAAATTAAATTAAAATCATGTGGTTACCGATATTCGATAAATATACTCAAAAATCATTGCAATGTACTCAAAACTTATTTCATGTTGAGGTATTGATAATAAGAAAGTAAAACCATGGCAATGTTTTTTTTAGATGTTATCCTTTGAAAAACTGTAAATAATTTCCGTAGCAAAGTTATTTTAGAACGCCTTAATTACAAGGAATAGAAGTGAAAAAATGTTTATCAAATTGTAGAATATTTTTCAATGTGATATTTTAACAAGTGAGCGTTCTTCAGTCTGATGTGAGTATTTTAAAATCTTTGACAAAAGTAAATGCGTGAAAGACAAATAGAACGAGTGTACAGTGTGTAAAAGCGAAATGGAATAAATTCATTATTTCGGTTACGGTACATATTTCAACAAAATCCAGAAACACGTCAAATTTAAATTATAATTTGACATACTTCAACGAAAAAATGCTACCCTTACCTCCAACCCCTGTCGAATGACAGGTACAACCCCCGATTTTTTAAATAGGAAGTATTTGCTTGTGATATATTGTTCGAAAGGTCTCTTCATTCTCTATTCAAAAATATTATTGCTTTCGAATTTTTTGCAACAATTAAGATAAATTAAATTAAAATCATGTGGTTACCGATATTCGATAAATATACTCAAAAATCATTGCAATGTACTCAAAACTTATTTCATATTGAGGTATTGATAATAAGAAAGTAAAACCATAGCAATGTTTTTTTAGATGTTATCCTTTAAAAAAGTAAATAATTTCCGTAGCAACGTTAGTTTAAAACGTCTTGTCAACTTGTTTTGTATGTTACATCAGTTGTCAGTATTTTAATTTAAGTTTAAAGTTCGTTAACTTGAAGTCTGACAAATGGTTAGATTAACGGAAATGCATAAAATCACAGTTTTACAAATGATTGGTTACGTCGATAAAACCTGAACATAACATTTTCATGAGAAATTTTCTAATTTACTGCCCATATATCAATAGAGAAGCAGTTTCGCAAGATTGGTCATGTGGGGCAGATAAAAAAACAGCTGCCAGTTGTTGAACTCAAATTAGATGTGCTGCTTGAGATTGAGGAAAACCCAAACATCGACTAGAAAAAAAATAAAATGCATCTCTATAAAATGATGCCTACTCAGGAGCTCATGGAAGACGATTTTGATAGAAGAACAAATGAAAGACATGTTGGATAGCAATATCATCCATTATTGATGAGTGTACTTTGTCTCGTAACGGTCATGCTAATCGGTAAAATTGCCGCTACTGGTCAACGGAAAATCCTCACTGGATGAGAGAAGAACACACGCAATACCCTCAAAAAGTTAATGCGTGGGCAGGAATTGTAAGAAACCATATCATCAGTCCCTTTTTCATTGAGGGCAACTTGAATGGCGATAATTATTTAGCACTACTTCAAAATTATGTCATTCTAAGTTTAGCAAATTTATATCCTGATTCAGGAAACCCTTAAGTTCCAGTGAATACGATATGGTTTCAGCAGGATGGAGCACCACCACATTACCAAGTTAATATCCGACAATACCTCGATACATTTCCCAATCGATGGATAGGGAGGCGAGGATCGAATGAATGGCCAGCGCTATCACCTGATCTTTCATCATTAGATTTATTTTTATGAGGATATGTAAAGAGCAATGTGTACCAAACTAAACCTTCAGATTTGAATGACATAAAAGAACGAATAACGCTTGCGATTAGGTCGGTCATGCCTGATATGTTAAATAATGTTAGAAAACAGTTTTATTTGAGATTAGGATGTTGCCAAGATGTTCGCGGCGAACATTTTGAACATCTACTTCGTTAAAATCCATAGTTCTTTTTCGTATTCTACATTTCATTACATTTTAATTTGATTTGATTGATGATTCATTCATTCAACGGGGGTTGAAGGTAGGGGTGGCATTTTTACGTTGAAGAATGTAAAATTATAATTCACATTTGACGTGTTTGGTTTTTTTCAAGTATGTACAGTAACCGAAATAATGAATTCATTCCATTTGGCTTTTACACACTGTATACGATATCCGTTGCAAATTTCGAGAACGATCTCATTTTAGAACCTAATAATCGGGCACCATTTGAACAACTGAATGTCAACTCCAAAGTGATTTCTGGAAATATAACTCGTGGATATGCAGATAAAACATTTTGTGACTACCAAACTTATCGAAAAATTTTCTTATTCAATGGAAATATTTTATATTCGTTGGGCGTTGGATTATTTCGAAAATTCGGATCCGTTGGTGTAATTTGGTTTTTATAAAAGATTTATAAATGTTAAGTCTTTGAGTCTTTCTTAAAAGTCAAAAATTTAGGAAGACACTATAAATTCTTATTTCCTAATTACCTTATCTAACTATGATTGAAAAATGTCCGTTACTATCAGCTATTTCCCCGATAACTTTTTTTCGCGAAAGAATTGACCAGTCTATGTATAACAAAATGTAATATTGCCATTTTTGTAGTACTTAGTCGATGGTGGGAGCTTTCAGGGATATATCTGAATGTGCTAGTATTCTTCTCAAATACATCAAATACTATACCCCCTTCGGTTTCTCCTAGAATATCCAGGACTGGTTGCTATTCTTTTTTTTTAATTTCGAACATGGATTTTATATTTGGGGATTTGTTGTTGGGACGACACAAAAAATCATCTACCTTGCTCCTATTCGTGTAAACGTATCGAAATCAAGTCCATGGAAAGTAATTCAACTATACTTTTGCTTCCGCATCATATCTTTCCATGAACAAATTAGCGATGAAAAGAGACAACGGGTTAGTCCAATGTCATACACACGTGAAGTTTGTCAAAACAGTTAGCGAATGAACTAATTCAAATCGCAACATTATGTTTTTGATTACCTCTATGAATTCGTGTAAAGTTTCGACACTCAAAGGGAATTGCGGAATCGATAGAGTTTGAACTGTTCTCTTAGCCATTTGGTCATCTTATATGTATGGGAACATATGAATGATACAATTGGTGGCACTTATTTGCTAATGTATTTTTCGAAGCCCGTTTATTTTTGGCACTGTATGATTAGATACTCGTAAACTTCTGTTCAAATCCGATGTAATCGGGTTTTTAGACTTCTTGAGTGGAACTTCCACATGTGAAACCATCTCAGGCGGTGGATTTTTTTGCTATTTTACTCTCTAGATAATGTTCCTTCATGTCAGTAGTAATTTGCTTTTTGCAAGCTTCACGAACAAAACCTTCCAATGTATCTGTGGCAAGCGCTAAATTGCACTCTCAACTCAAACCAAAACAGCTTCTAAAACTTTTTTGGAGAGCCCAAATCAAGTTTCAAACCATTATGCAGGAAATCGAGCTCTTCATCATCTAGAGACAGACGTTGAAAATTTTCTACAAAGTTGATAATTTTCTTCGATTCATTATCGCTTTTCTCGGCCTGAGCTTATAAGAAATAAACTCAAACCAAGCTTGAGTTTATTTTATTTGAAAATTACCATTTTTCCAGTGGAAACAAACAGTTTCCTCTAAACATATCCTATTGTTCTGTTTCGTCTAGCTTATACATTATTTTATTTGCAAAACTTGTCTTCTTTTAAATCACGCATACTCCATTTACTAACAAATAATTGATTCTAAATCTATATATTTTCATTTTACAAAAAGCTTTCAAAACTGCTCGTATTTCAACGAGTGCTGAGCAACTCGAAAGACAGAACGTCGAAAAAGAATAAGTCTGGGATTTACGAAATGAGCTATGAGGATTGCGATAAAAAGTATGTTGATCAAGTTAGCGGACTGCAACAGCTCGCTACAAGGAACATGTCTAAAATATTCGGTTTGATAGACCAGAAAAGTCTATATAGATCGCTATTTCGACCTGGTAGTTTTCTGGAAAATAGATTTCAATCGAAGGTATAGTCGAAGAAACCGATATAGTAATCTTAAAGGTGTAGGCGAAGTCAAAGGCCAAAAAAACCAATACAAAGGAATTATGCCGCAACGAATTAGTCCACGTGGACTGAAGAATTGGCGGTTCGTATTGGATAATTTTTACTAACCGAGTTTTATGATTGGCTGAAAAGTCATAAAATTGAATTTGAAGCCATGTTACGGTGACTAACAGAATCTAGCGGTGAGTACCGCGTTGTGTGTGTGTTATTAAAAGGGAACTGCTGGAAGGTAGGGGGCACTATATCTTTAACTTGAACTATACACGCGAATTAAATCGCAGGCTACATGTAGTATTCAATATATTTGTTTTTATGACTTTTTGTTTGAACTTGGAGTGGACCATAGATAGTTCGATACTTTTTGACAAATTATTGAGACTACCAAGGGTGCTGACCATTGCTTCCTTATAGCTGAAAATATATAGAACGGGCATACTTAACGAAGTCGATATCCTAATCGATCTTTATCTAAAAAATGAGATACCAGAGAATTCAAAACGATATATCGACTTGAGTGATTTATAGCTGGTCTCAGAAATAATTCTCGACTGACTTTTAGAGGTGTATAAAGATTTATTCTTTATGTT